TTATTCAAAAATGCCAACGGCCATTTAACTCTGAAATGGACAATAATAGTAGCAGATAACGATCATTGTGCTCTCTGTAAAAAATTTAGCAAGTACTGACGATATATATTATGTCATATCCTATATCATGAAATTTTGCTATAGAATTATACTTTCAGCGTCAGACTGATAATGACGATCTCTGCTGCAGCTCGTTTCCAAACACCATGAATTGATATCGCTGTGACCTTACAGATCACAAATGTCTTCCAGATTTTCAAACTCCGACCTCAATCTATCGTATTCCTTGACGAAAAACATAATCTGTGAATCACGATTTTTACCAAAAAAGACGATGTTGAAGAACATTCTACTGATTGAACAGAAGGCTCTGGAATGTTAAAATTTTGGGTGAAGATTTCTCTCTCTAAACATTCCCTGTACTGAGAATTTTAGAAATCCATCTTATTCTACTCATGAGTTATGAGGGATCACATTTGTCGAAAATGTGAATTTTTTGCTGTATTGGATGAGTCATAAAAAATGAAGAGTATAGAGTTGTAAGTTGAAAATTCTATTCTAAGTACAACTCATTGAATTATATGCCTACAAAAAATTTCAACTCAATCGATCAAGCCATTTACGAGATATTGAGTCCACAAGTTACTTATGTTTAGGTATACATTTTCAGAACTCTCGAAAGATAATTATAAAATGTTAACGGCTCTATATTTTTCAAAATGGATTTCGTCAATATTTCTAAAACTCTTCTCTTTGCAATATATTTTGCATTGAGTAATGTCTCACGATCTCGATCAAGCATGTTCACTTGTGGATTGTGTAAAATGGCTCTTGTGGAAAGTATTGATTGTACTAGATACAAACTAAAGCAATGGCTAATCTCTCTATATAGATGAGTTTCAAAAATTTGGATTAGCCACTCTGATGCATTTTTGAACATTAAAAGATAAATTCTAATTGAAATTCTACTTGAAAGAAAGCTAAAAGTTGTAATTTGCATTATAAAGAATAGAAAAATAATGAAAAATACAATGATTAACGTGGTAGTGAAATTTCTTTTGTGGCTTAGCCGAAGGCTGGCTGCTACTTTGATTTCGATCATTTTATACTCATTGGATAGCTTTTTCTTCTCTCTATTCAAATCCTTAAAAACCTCTGGATCTGTTAGAATTAGCAGAGAAATACAGCTTGCAAAATATAAAAGAACAAGGCAAAAGTACGAAACAAGCAGTAGGGTCGCTCTAGTTTTGAGGCTAGTGTACCTATATAATAAAGATTAAGAGGAGATAACATATGCAGTTTTGTAGAGCGGACTTTGCTCTATCAAATCATATATTACTCGAAACAATTGTCATAATTTACTGTGAAGACAATGACAAAACACTGACCTTACCAAATTTTTCAAGAAAAAAAATATTTTTTTCAAAACCTGCTCAGAGTGCTCTCAGTGAGTGTTTCATAACTCTTCAAAGAAAAGCTAGAATGAGCTAACATTTTGCATTTATAGGTTTCTCAGTTTGCTCTTTCATTTCCAATCACAAAATATAGGGGTCAAAGTTTTCGAGAGTATGGCTATGTTCGAGTTTCTCATGGACTGCCTCTTTTAAGAAATGGTTCACGAAACCACTTACCAACTTTGTATGAGACCGGCCACCGCTAAAATTTTGATTTTCAATTTAAGTAACTCAAACGATAGGCCAACATATGACTACTTCAAATCCAAAGTATTAGCTCTTTCTGACTTTTCTCTGAAAAATACCAAAGCATAAAAGTAGTACACCCTTCGGGGTTTAGTCAAGAAATTGCAATTTTTCAGTGCTCGTGATATTTTGCACTTTTCTCAGCATCCGAATGTTTGTTTGAGTTCGGAGACGTCTCAAAAGATGCAGAAATGTTTTCTCTACAATGCCATTCACCAACTGATCATTTCAATATACGAGTAAAAATGACCATTGGCTAAAATGAACATTTTTTGCAGAATACTGACCTTATCCACACTGAACCATGTTGTTCCAAAATAATTTTGTATTTTTTGAAAACCCTTGAAATTCTGCATTGTTTAAGGTATAAATCAAAAGATTACAACCTTGGTAGCGAAAGCTAGTCCAGACCACAAATGTTGATGGCTGATTAATATCTTTATCCAATCGGACCCAGAATCTGAATAAAGCATATTTTAAGTTCATCCGAATCAAATATATGATTTCAGATTTGTAATCAGCATAAAAGGTGAGTATAAAAACGTGGTTTCATTAAATGTAGCGTTAATCAAGTGATAGATATCGTGTCGAGAATAAAAGCTAAATAATATCACCAAGTATACTATTATAGACCTCTCTATAGCTCTTCGTGAGGAGATCTGAATCGAAACGTTTTACCTCATACAGAATTGTGGAAATCTCAGCTTCAGAATTATCTACTGATGTGTCTTTCTATTTTGTATTATGGTTGAGAAAACGAGACTTCTCTCGATGTTTGTAGCGAAAATATACAAAACTGTGAAAAATGGGGTCCATATTTGATAGCTGTTACCATCATAACCGATTCCAATAGCGAAGTGAATAGCTTATCCAGAATCAGCGTGCAAAACTACGTCGAAAAACGTACTTTTTAGAAATTTTCATTTCAACGGAAAAACCATCTGTCTTCCCCCTCATCGATTTTTTTCCAAAATTTTGTCCGCAATCCCCCTCCCCCCCCCCCCTCGGGATCGATTTTTCATGGGAAAAACATTTTTCTAAAATATGTTTTTCGACGTAGTTTTTCACGCTGATTCCGAATATGCTATTTATTTCCCTATCAGAATAAGCTATGATGATAAAACCTATCAAACATGGACGCCATTTTTCAGTTTTGTATATTTTTGCTACAAACATCCAGAGAAATCCCGTTTTCTCAACCATAATACAAAATAGAAAGACACATCAGTAGATAATTCTGAAGCTGAGATTTCCACAATTCTGTATGAGGTAAAACGTTTCGATTCAGATCTCCTCACGAAGAGCTATAGAGAGGTCTATAAAAGTATACTTTGAGCTATCCTGGAGTTATTTGTACTCGACAGGCTATTTTTTACCTGACTTACTTACTTTACATTTAATGAAACCACGTTTTTTATACTCACCTTTTATGTTGATTACAAATTTGAAGTCATATATTTGATTCGGATGAACTTAAAATATGCTTTATTCAGATTCTGGGTCCGATTGGATAAAGATATTAATCAGCCATCAACATTTGTGGTCTGGACTAACTTTTACTATCAAGGTTGTAATCTTTTGATTTATACCTTAAACAATGCAGAATTTCAAGGGTTTTCAAAAAATGCAAAAATTATTTTGGAACAGCATGGTTCAGTGTGGATAGGGTCAATATTCTGCAAAAAATGTTCATTTTAGCCAATGGTCATTTTTTCTCGTATATTGAAATGATTAGTTGGTGAATGGCATTGTAGAGAAAACATTTCTGCATCTTTTGAGACGTCTCCGAACTCAAACAAATATTCGGATGCTGAGAAAAGTGCAAAATACCACGAGCACTGAAAAATTGCAATTTCTTGACTGAGTTCCCGAAGGATATACTACTTGTATGCTTTGGCATTTTTCACAGGAAACTCAGAAAGAGCTAATAGTTTGGATTTGAAGTAGTCACATATTGGTCTATCGTTTGAGATACTTAAATTGAAAATCAAAATTTTAGCGGCGGCTGGTCTCATACAAAGTTGGTAAGTGGTCTCGTAAATCCTATCTTAAGAATTTTAGCTTTGGTTTCATTGAATTTAATGAATTATAACTATATATACCATTGAAGCTTTATTTGTTCTTTTTGTTTTTATAAATATAATATTTTCCAGAGATGTCTATAGAATTAAGAAGCTTGAACTGTGTGACTTTCAATAATGGATAGAATAGTATCTTATATATTCGTTAGAATTTATTAAATATGTATTATTATTATGATTATGAAAGATTGAAAAAAGGTACACAAGAAATCGCTACAAGAAATTGAATTTTAACTCTTATTCATCGATATCATATATAACCATGAAAGAAATCAACTTGTAATTACAAAAGATTACTTTGCGGTTGAGACAAAAAAGAAATCTTCGTATCAGAGTAAACAATTCAAATAAAGATTATTGTATCGTACAAAAATAGATCAAAAAGAAAAGAAAATTAAATATCAACGACATGCACATTTATACTATTATCATGATAAAAGAGAATAGTACAATTGTTTATTCGATAGTTCACTGTTAGTCTACGATCTGATATGAGGAATGACGGTTTTTTCTGAGTATACGAAAGCTGAAAATAATTGGATGAAACTTTCACAGATAATTATTTTTCAATTTTCTAATTCTGAATATGTATGAATCAATATCTGACACTAATTTAGTCATTCTAGAGTTATGAAACTAGCGCCACCTGGAATTGATTTCGATTCATATCTCAAGAATGGTTTGTTATCAGATGCTGTACCTCAGACTTCTAGAATCAGAAAAATAAATTTGATTTTTGTTTTAAATTTCATCCAATCATTTTGAGTTTCATCGAACTCAAAATTAGCATATTCCTTATCATCAGATCATATACGATATCTATTGACTAATATACTAGGGAATAGAATTAAAGTTACAGCAGAATTTTCTCAAGCATGAATAGAAATTTATTATAAAAGATTAATTTGCAGTTGAGGAAAAGATTTCGTATCGGAGTAAACAATTCAAATAAAGATTATTATATCGTGCAAAAATCGAACAAAAAGAAAAGAAAAAGAAATCAAGAATATACGCATTTGCATTATTATCATGATAAAACAAAATAGTACAATAAATAAAGGTTAGTTAACAAAGTACATAATAGCGTTTAAGTATATTGACAATCCATCAATTTTTGTAAACGGAAGACAATTTTTTTGTTTATTTGGTAGCTCACTATATATTGACTAATATAAAATCGATTGTAACTAAAATTAGAGACAAATATTCTCGAATATCAATGGGAAATAAGTTGGATTCATGTTTAGACTTAAAAAATTACGTTTTACAAAATGCTCGTAAAGGTGATATTAAAAATATAATTGATACAATTGATCATTATGGTTGGACTAAAAATTGGTTAATGAATATTGGTGATCGAAAAGGTCAAACACTTGATCAAGCTATTCAACGAAGAAAACCAAAAACTATTCTTGAATTTGGTATTATTTATCTTTGTCTTATATAAATAAATAACTCTATTGATATTTTATTTCAGGTACTTTTCTCGGTTATAGTTCATTGCGAATTATTTCACAATTACCAGATGATGCTCTTTTCATAACAATTGATGTTGATTCACAAGCACTTGAAATTGCTCGTAGTATTTTTGAATATGCTGGTGTAACAAACCGTGTAAAAATTATTAATGATTATACGAATAATGTTATTCCTCATTTAAGTAAAATTTTTAATATTGATTCATTCGATTTTATATTTATCGATCATTTCAAATCTATATATTTACGTGATTTTAAAATGCTTGAAGATGCTGGATTAATTAAATCTGGAACAATGATTCTTGCAGATAATGTTATTACACCTGGTGCACCAGATTATTTAGAATATATTCGAAATAATCCAAATTATACATCAACATTTTATAAAGAAAAACTTGAATATCAAAACGAGATAGATGATGGTATTGAAATATCAATTCGAAAATAAAAAATTTATACATGAAAATATTGAATTTCTAAATCAAATATTTGTCTATTGTTTTACTTTGCTATATTTAAATGCATTGGAAAGGAGTAAGTTAGAATAAAAATAAATGGTGGTACTTGAAATTTAAAAATAGTTGGATAAAATAGTTAAAGTAGAAATTTTTGTAACATTTCCATTTAATACACAGTAATGACGTCAACGTTGGTTGAGTTCGATTTTTTTTTACAAAAGAATCTTTTTTTTAGTGAGAAAAACCAAACTCTAAATTTCGAGAAAAAGATTTCGGATTTTTCGCCTCCGAAAGGCTTTTATCAAACTTCGATATTGAATCAATATCAACATTAACATCATTACTATGTATAAAATACAAGTTTTGCAAACAACTCTAGTTTAACTTTGGTTTTGTTTTTCAAGTTAATTTAAAGTGCCACTTCTAATCAGAACTTTGTACTCTTTCAGAATATGTGTTTAGAATTTTCCTATAGCTTTAGGTTATTCAGCTTTAAGTAAACCTTGACAGGACTTACAAAAGTTTTCTGACGTAGAAAAAATTTTATCTGTTTCTTGTAGATATCAAATGATTTCTGTAAATATATAATATTTCAAGGTGATCTCTATTGTACAAAAACACGTACAAATGGAAAAATTTGGTTAATCCGCTAAGTTGTGTCGGAAGGTTATTTTACGTTCAAAAGACGACAGTCAGAAAAAACGTTATTTTTCTTGCGATAGACATCATAAAAGCCTTGAGTACTCCTCAATTAGTGTGCAAAAAAATTTACTGCTTTGTAGAGAATTATTTTCTGCATGTTTCAAAAAATTTTTTAGTATGCCTGGAACAAGTTCCATTGGAAGTTTTTTTTCGTGAAACAAAAATGAGTCTTTGTAAGATTCACTTATAGCTCATTAGCCAAAATTCATAGGAAAATTCGATGCATATGTATTCTAAAAAAAGTACAAAAGTCTGATTCTAATACATTACCAATACATTTAAATACGAAATAAATATAATTAAATAACTTATCTAGAAATTTTCTACTCATTCTTTATTTGTTGGTTTATCAATGTAAATAATACTTGTATAAAGTTAATTCATAATTGATAATAGTTGTTTTAATTATATCGTCATAATTAACAACTATTTGATAATTAGACAAGATGAAAGATTCACAAGTTTATATAAAAATACATGATCAATATGAAAAAATTATTTTTATTTCTTTATACAGAAAATATTTTTGAGAGATAGATGAAAAATATCTTATCTTTTTCTTCAATGTTTATTGTATATGTATTCTTGCGACAAAAATATGTAAATCAACTATACAATATATTATCTTGTCGAAGTCTTATTACATGTCGATAAAAATCGATAATCTTCAAAAGAGTTAACATACTGTATGAATGAAGATATTGTATCTTTAGATTGATAGAAATGGTATAGACCATCATACTTTACACTACGATGTAATACAAGAAATCGTATAAATGCTCTCAAAAGACTTTGATTAGTTAGGGATAAAAAAAGATCATTGAAAGATACAATATTAAAAAAGAACAACAATCTATTGTTGCCGTTGCCATGGTATCAAGAAACGAGCTATCCATATAATACTCATCATTATGCAAAAAACTTTTTGCTTTCATTAAAATGCTAAAAAAAACATGTCTATATGACATTCAGATTTATTATTGCAAAACGATTTTTTCTTATCTTGAAATATTGGATGAAATATAAAAGAGTTTTTTAGTTTAGGCACTTTTAAACGTTTTTTTATATACGGAATGAGTAAATTTCAAAACGAAAAGTTTAATAAATGTTATCTGACTTATATTATATAATGGAAATTAATGTTGAAGAAAATGTTCATCGAGATGGTATTTAAAATATTATTGATTTCGATTAGATAAAATAATAGAAAAATTGAAATTCTTGACCGAATTGAATATACAGATTTGCCAGAACTTCCGAAATACTCAATAAAAGTATGCAACATGATATTTTTTTGGATTTGAACTTTCATGATTTCCATGATAATGTCTAATTTTATTTTTACCAGCAATTGATGCATCATCATTGTTCTACTGTAATCAGTTTAAAATACAAATGTTTTTTGTGATTACTAATAAAACACGCTTATTTGAATCTAAAACCTTTCCGAAGCTTTAATTGATCGAGTATTTTTGAATTGACTTGCCGTTTGTCGAATCATCATTAATCAGCTAATTGGAATGAATTCAAAAAGTATTCATTTTTTTTCTGATTTCTAAAAGATGAATAAAAGATGTCTCATATCTTTTCGATCTCAATGAAAATTAGTCTACATATAAACAAAGAGTGATCCTTATCCAACCATATCTATATGAGCTTCAAGTACGTAAGACAATGGTTTAAATAACATTATATCTTTTAATAATAGTAATATAAACACAACAAATGTGATAATTGTGGTATGAGTGCTGAGGAAAGCCACACAGTCCCTATATATTACGTATCACTTTGTATAATTGTTATGTTCTAAAAAAATCTGTTTCTATCGTAGACCTAGATCAATGCCTGGTTATTTATTCTTTGATTTATCTATTTTCATCTAAATGGTTTAGATTGAAAGATTTTTCAATTACAACAGAAAATTTCATTGTTTTCTAAAACAATCATCGAATGTTGTTTGTCTTTTTGCGTTTGAACTAATTTTTTTCACGTTGCTGTAATAATCATTCGTACAGTTAATCATCTAGTTTTTCTGCATTGACATCTTTGAGTTTTCATTTAATATTTCGATTCTAATTTTTCTAATAATCAGTTACATATTCTGTTTTACATATGTGATACACAGTAGAATGATATATTATATTTTTCAGTCAATTTATATTGTAATAAACCACTATCATCTTTATTACCATGCATTAATAGTATTTTTTTCTAGCAAAGTCAGCTTATGTTGTGATATCATTCTTTTTTTTTACACGTGCAACAATCGAATCATACACAAAATGTACATACTCTTAATACATAACAGACAGGTGACCGAAAATAGAAAGAGGTCAAAATAAAATTAAAGAAGAGATAAAAATTCAACGAACAATAGTTTTCACCTACAATGCTAATAAAAAAACAGATGTCAATAGAAAAAAAAAAACGTGAAATATCAAATAACTGTCTTCCGAGTTTTTCTCGGAAATAGTTAAAAAATAAAATAATTCGGATTTTTAACCGTTCGATCTGGCAATTCTGATGATGTAATTTCATATATCAATGAAAATCGATTTATTCTTGTTTTTTTTTTTCTTAGGTATTTCTCTTAGTTATACTTCATTTAGTATTATTTCTCGTCATAACCACAAGATATCTTTTTTATTACAATTGCATTGAATTCTTAATCAGTTGAAATCGCTCTTTCTATTCAGAAATAAGTTAGTGTGACTAATCACATAAAAATAATGAATGATCAAAGACAAAAGTCATTCATCATTTGAACCAAGAGTTTAATATTGATACATTCGATCTAATCAATCATTGAAATGAAGTATAGTCAAATCTCTCTCAATGAACCCGATGTTATATTGAACAATTTTCAGTTTCTTGAAGGGAATTTTGCTGGTTTTACACGACTTCTTTATGAACATCTCTTGATTCTCAATGCATATAGTTTTTTGTTTCCGTCTGCATGTAGTAAAATCAATTGACTCTTTGATTTAATTCAATAAAAGCAAAAAAGAGAAAAAAAAAGAATGAACAAACAGATATCATTGTCTTTCTAAACAACTTCTCAATATTTTTCTATCAGGATATGATATTTCGTAATGTTCTTGATTTGGAGCGAATAAAATGAATCTATTACTAATTATGAAACTAGTCTTAAAAAAACCAATATAAATTACTACGAGTAAAATAATAGCAAGCATTTAAAACGAAGTGGAATATGATAAAACTGATATTCTGATTTATATTTGTTTAACCCTTCCTTTCTTTTATGAAAATCCTGTTATAGTGAACGATTTTCATTAGTGCCGATGATGTGTACAATGGAAAGGTTTTATTGTACATTCAAAAACATATTTGAAGATGATGCATTAATTAAATGCGGAACAATCATTGTTGTGGATAATTTAATTAATCTATATGCACTAGATGATGTATAATATGTTTGACATAATCAAAAGTTATACTTGAATATTGAAACAGAGCCATAGTCAGAAATTTTCTAAGGCAGTGCATACTAGCGAGAAAATAGTCTCTATCTGTACTCTCTATGTTATAATTAATTGTAATATAATTTTATAGTTATAATGAACTAGTCATTATGAAGAGATAGAAAAAAAGAAACTTATAATTACTATTAAAATGATACGCTCTGTTGAATAGAGTTTTCAATGACTAAAAATTTAATACATATTATATTCTATTTCAAATCATTCATGAAATCTAATACTTTTTCTAAAAAAATTCATCATTAATTTGAAATTATATTTTGACAAAGAACGTAAGTTCATTACTAAAATAAAAATCATCATAAGAATTTTTGATTATCAATAAAATTTAATTAAGTTTTTGGAATTCAATGTATGAAACGAAATTCTAAACAAATCCACTTATTAACATTCCACCAATAAAAAATACATATCTGAATATATAAAGTCATGACTGTCACAGTTGAATGGTTTTTTTGACCTATTTAATCTATTCATACGGTTCGTCTATACATATATACATGAAGCAAAATGTCTGTCATACGATATTGTACTTACCAAATGTCCATAGTCGTTTTCTTTTTCTTTCAATTTGATTCAGTAACCAATGTTGATCGTGAAAAAGTGAAAGAACACAAAATATTTGGTATACGAAACAATCTCTGTTGTTTCTTTTTTTTTCTCATCATTGAACTTATTTAAAACTCATGACGGCGATACCAATAACAACAATTCAACAAACAGACCAATTACCTATTGTACCTGAAATTGATCTTATTGAACCGCTTGTTCAATGTGGTGTTCTTTATTTGGGTTCAGCACCATCTAATAATGGTTTTCATGGTCTTGATGCAATTCAAGAACCATTTTCATACCGATATCCTGTCGATGGTACAAATACAGTTCGAGGTAATTTCATTGACTTTTCCATTCAAAAAATAAATAAAAATAAAAAAAAAAAAGAAAATATAATTTTGTTTATTATTTAAAAAAACAAGGTATTGATGCAGTACTTTCGATTTATGATAATGGTATTCAATTAGTATTTACTCGCCAACCACATGCAGCAGTATTTTTTCCAATAACTTCTCTTATTTATTGTTCAAGTCTACGTTTTACAGTCATTGAAAATGATTATACTAAATCAACACCAATGATTGATTGGCGTTTTATGCCATTAGATACATATGTAATTAATGAAAGTAAACATCCACCATTATTTAGTGTTATTATACAACGTACACAAATTATGCCAGGTGATGAATGTCATTGTTTTATAACAAAAAATGTTGACGCAGCATTTTCACTTGTTCAAGCTATATCACAAGCTTATGCAAATATTAATCCGGAATCGAAATGTTTAAAATCACCTATTTTTTATCAGGTTAAAAATTTTGTATACATTTATATTATTTCTTTTTCTAATGATTTTGTTTTTGTTTAAATATTTTAGTTAGATCGTTATGGACGAAAATTAAGTGAAATCCATGGTATTATTTACATATCACCAGCTAACGATGATGATTCATATTTGAATCGAACAAATCCAAATCGATTAACAGATGAATCGACTATTCGAAATTATCTATTTGATCCAACATTTGGTGGTTTCTTTTATCGTACTGATGCAAGTATTGTTGAACAATGGCAATTATGGGATGATGATGATAAATTTGTTGAATCTCGACCACGTCCACCAGCATCACCTTTTGGATTACATGAAGGTCTTTATCATGATGATACATCACATGAAATTCAACGATATTTACGTCATATGGATGATGAAGAACCTTCTTGTTCATGTAGTTGTTCGAGTAAGAGTTCAACTTCAGCTTCAAGTTCAAGTTCAAGTTCTAATTCTGTTAGTTCAACACCAACAGAACATTCTCGACAACATAGTCGACATTATTATGATAAACAACAATTAATAAATGATATTGATCAATTTGATACATCATTTGCGAATTTACAAACAAGTTCATTTGAACCAATTTCAATACAAAATAATAATGAAATAAACGAAACAAAAAAAGCACCAATTATTATTGAAAAAGTCATACCGAAATTGACTTCATCAATACCTATTCTTAATCCTATTTTGCCTCAACAACCATTGAATATTCCAAATCCTGTACAAGAACCAATTACAAATTCTCTTTCACAAACAGAATTACCTTCTTTTTCATATAGAATAAATGAACATGGTGAAAAAATAACCAAAGAAGGCAATCGTATTTTATTTATGGATGTTGTTCAACTGGAAACAAATAAAAATCAAATTAATACGCAATCTTATCAATCATCAACATCTCGTTCTCGTTCACGACCACAACGATTATCAAAACAAGTACCTACCATTGATAATAAAAGATATCAACGATTATACGATGAAAACAAATCTAAAACTCAACGATATAGATATATAGATGATAAACCACAAGATCATTCAAATAATACAAAACGTTTAACAACACCCAATACGTTTGAAATAGTTGACGGATATTTTGAAGATCGTAATGGACGTCAAATAAAATTAAATAATCATCAAGCTCAATTAATGCTTAATCATTTTGAATCATCAAACATGAAAAAACAAGAACGAAAAATTAATACTATTTCATCAATAAATAGTTCTAAACATCAAGCTCATCATCGTCGTAGCAAATCAACAATAACTACTGGTCCATCAGTTAATTATGTTGAACGTCCTTCAATACCATCTTCGTCTTCAACTTATAAATCATCAATAGTTAAACAAAAACCACCAACACCACCTGTATTAACTCATGAAAAACTTAATGAATTGGTATCAAATATTTATGGAACAACTCGATCAGTTAAACCAAATTCATCATCAATAAATCATCAAGACAGAAATTCATCGATTAGTACTACTACTACAGTTATAAATCCAACATATATATCAGCATTTCGATATATGAAAAGCAGTGTTAATCCAAAGTTTCTTCAAGAATATCGTGATGCATATTAATTACAATTTAAACAAAAAAAAGAGATATAGACACAAAAAAAGACGCAAACAATTCAAAAAATTTTATTTAATATATCTTGTTGCTTATACAAAGTTTTTGTTTTAAACAAATAAACAGATAAGGACGTGACTTATTTTTTTGCTTTTGTTACTACGTTCATCAAAGAATTAAAATAAAAAAAATGAATATTATGGAATGTTTATATCTTTTAAGAAAGTATTAGAAAATTAAAAAAAAAAACAAGTTTATTTTAATTATTTAATCACGAAACCCTCAAAACTGAGGTAAACCTAAGAAATTTTTGAAATTTACATAGCAAGCCGACTGTAGAGTTTCAAATGAATTTTGGCATCATCAAGCTTTATTTATCCACAAATTTTAAACGACTATAGTACTGTTTTACATCCACAAGTTGTGGAATATCAAAAACGTTACTCGAGATGACAAATGTACGGCACAATCTTTTCCATTGATATTCAAATATGGGGTAGCTTGAATATGAGTTTCGAGAATTCGTGAATGGCGTTACACTTCAAGAGTTTGCGGAGTTAAGAAATCATGAGATTCAGTCACTACTGCTCTAGAACGTATTTCTAACGAGTGAAAACCTATGAGTTGGTGCTCTTTTCGAATATACATTTAAAAATTTTGTCTTAACTATTGTTCGAGAATAGTAAAATCATATTAAAAAATTGGTTTGAACGGGAAATTTTTGTATTTTCACTGTTGTAATTCGAAATTAAAATCTATGATCCTTTTTTAAAAACCAGCTTGCAGATTAGAATCTATCCTACAAAATGTGCTATTTGAATTCTTTTTTGTTTTTCGACAGAACATCTCAATTTTCATTTTTTTTCCTAAATAGTGGTTCTTTTGAAAAATTGACAACTGTTTTTATGTTGAAAGAAGCTGTTAAGAATATGTTTGTAGTCTCACTTGACTAAAAGCTACAGCTTATTTCAATATAAAATTTTGTAGAGAAATGTTTCCGTTCAACAAAACAGCTGACTTCAATAATTCTTAGCATGTTTGATACGAGACTTACAGGGCAAACAAAAACTTGTTGGCTCACCATTAACAATAGTTTTTCGAGTTTTTAAAAAAGTCTCTTACAAGTTCTTAATAAAAATAGATATAACATTTCTAAGTTCTTATTCAAATCTTGGTCACAATCTATAGTTTTTGACTCGTCGAAAATACTTTCTAGCAGCTCAAATAAAAAAAAACATCTGTTCTAAAACCTTGCCCCTCACACGTTAGAATCAATAATTAACTTCATATTTGGTTCATATTCTTCTGGTATTGATAAATCAAATGAAATTTTCCTAGATGGCGTTTCATAATGAACTTGTTCTGAAATTGTAGAAATGCTATTTCTAGTTAAAATTGGTTCTGATGATAGATTTCTATCATGCAACATAGTTCTTGTTCGTGGTTGTTCTTGTAATAGATAATCTTTTACTGGAAAGAAATGTTTATGCCATTGTAGAAATGGTTTTCTTCTTTTAACATTTTGTTCTTGTTCTGAAATACGATGTCGACATGTTAGATCACGTGCCCATTGGCGCATATCTGATACTTCAGGTTGCTCAATATGACGATGAAATAAATTTTTTATAAGACGATCACGTTGTTGTTTCAAAGATATTGATGATAGAAAACTTGATGAACGCGATCGTGTGCTTTGACTATCTTGACGTTTTCTTCTACGTTTTTCTTTTGCCCATTGAACAACAAGACCAAGAATAAAAAAAATTACTATACTACAAGCTAATGTAATAAGTAGGGGTGCTGGACTTGGAGTTAATAATTCAAATGATGATTTACCTATACGCATAGGTATACAACCATCACGCGGTTCATAAATAAATCTTGTAGAATCCATTTGAAATTCAATACATACTTCATATTGACCAGTTTCAAGATTAAATATTCTTAAACTATTGTTAAAATCCACGAGTTTTGTAAAATTTGTTAATGTTCGAATAATAATATTTGATAATGAAAAACTATCAATCGAACGTAAAATAAAACGAAACGAATCAAACATATTATTTAGAGATCTTTCAATAGTAAACCAAACAATAATCGATTGATTCTGTATATCATTTGAATAATATACTTGTAATGGATTAGTAGAACTTGTTTGATTATAATCATTAATAGAAATATCTTGATTAGATTTCATTGTATATGTTTGAAGTATTTGACAGCTTATTTGTAAGAAAAAATGAAAGCCAAATACAATAATAATGAATAAAGAATTTATCATGAATATCTTTAAACTTTTATCAAATGAGAGAAACAGACATATAAATATATATATACATGAAGAAAAATGAAAGGTTAACGAATCGAAGAAAGTTAAAGAGTGACGAATTGTTTTTCTTCCTTGTTGATTTTTGAATTATCAGTATTTAGATTAGAATAAGAAAAAATGATAGTCAAACATCGCAATATAAAAAATACGCTTACAAATGTCGTTTCGTAAAAAGATAAGCATTCTTTATTATTAGGATGAATATGTCACAAGAAACAAAAAAGAATAAATTTATTGTTTCAATACTCTAATTTATACTGTAGAAACAATCATTATTTTACGTGAAGGTGTCCTGAATCATTCTAATCTGCAAAGTAGGCTGGGGATTAGAAAATTTTTCTCAATCAAGGCACAAGGTACGAAAAAGGCATATCCTGCAGCATCTCTATTATTGAGTATAAAAAATGAATTGTTATTTATTAGTTTGCTCAAATAATCTAAATAAAAAATAACACGTTAACTTTTTGTCATGAAGTTTTGATTTTCAAGCAATGGTGATTGATGGCTATGGAGAGAGTTGAGAGCAGCTGATTTTTTGAGTTTTGTTCTTGATGATAATAGCTAGAAAGAATCTAAAACAACATTTGAGTAAATGAAATGCTTCTCTATCAAGATTGGTACACTTAAAAACCTCAAGACAACTGATTAGATAAGGGTGCATAGAAAATAAAGCCAGTTTTCTGACATCCATTTGAATCTGTTTGAAAATAATTTTATTCGATAGAGAAAAATGAGATGTATTGACTGTCTTCAAGATGTTTCTTCATGAAACTGCATTCAATTTACAGAAGACTAACAAAGAATTTTTCTTTCGTGTTTATGAGAAATTTCAATGTTTTGTTGTGTTTGACACTTTAGAACTTTCTATTAATTGAATGCAGTTTAGTGAGAAAATATAATCACTAGGAGAGCCGAGGCATCTCATTTTACTTTATCAAATAAAACCATTTTCGAAAAAAGTTCAAATGGGTGCTAGAAAAGTAGTTTGGAGATCTTGCTTTTCCAAACATTCTCATTCCAACGGTTGTTATTGGAATTTTTAGGTTTCGAATACTGTTAGACGATCTTTCTAACTATTCAAATATTTTTTTTTTTGAGATTGTTCCAGCAATTACCATCGGGAAGAAAACTGAAAAATACAGTTGTTCTCTGAACTTTTTTTCTGCCATATATATATATATAATCCAGTCATTGATTGTTTTTAACAAGTATTATCGATTTGTTAACATTAGTTATCCACTTTTTTATATAATAAGTATTCAAATTTTTCAATAAGAGTTGTGCAATAGAGTATTACTGTGACGTAGGAGCAATATAGTTTCTTCTTTTAAATAAAATTGTGAAATGACAACGGTAATTACTTAGCATTTAGTGATCCTATGATGAACCTATACTATGAATTATGTTTATATCAAATTGTTGTATAGTATGAGATTTTAGTCAACATTGCTGCATCAATCTTGTGAATCATTTAATTTGAAGACTTCGATCGAGAATCGATTGAGACAATCTCTGGCTACTATGAAAGCAACAGAAAAACATTCATAACATCTAGATTTAACGCTTGCTATTAATAAATATTAAGTTGCTCGTATATTAGAAGATTAATTCATATAATTACATGAATTAGTCAAATATTCATGTATTTAAAGGCTACGAAACAAACCAAGGTGAGACTTGAGTCTCACCTTAATTTGCTGTTAGGAGTGGCGTTTACCTTTCCTATTAATTTATTTGCAACTTAAATTCTAGCTAATTTGAAATTAGTTCTGAATTTAACAATTTTTTATGAATTAATCATCGCTATTGTCAGAACCAATGCCTGCAAAAAAAATACGAAGTAAGGCAAGAAACTGACACCACATGTCGACATCTAATTATCAGAATAAAGGTGCCCGTATAAAACAGCTGTGTTCTGTTTCTGCTCTCTTTTAATAATATTAAAATATTCATAAACATATGTTTGAAAGCATACTTCCATGATAAAATGTTGCTTTTATTCCAAGAGAAAAACAAACAAATTTAAATATTATTTAAAATAACATAAACTTATTTAGGTTTAATTAAAATTGGATTTTAATAAGACTTAAAATGATTTAAATTGATGTGAATATAATTTGAATTTAAAATAAGTTTGTTTTGAAAAATTTAAGTTTTTCAAAATTTATTCTGATTTGAATAATGTTTTTAAAAGTAAATTGATCATTTCTATTCACTGTATCAAATAATGACTAATTATACTTAGGAAGTTAAAAGAATTTTTAAAATGGCTTTAAAATGATGAAACGAACAGAAAATTGATGTTTTTCAAATTCATCGATTAAAATAGACATTTTCATTAATTTTATTGCATGATTTTGATTAAATATGTAACTTACTGCATTTGCTTAATTAAAATGTCGCTTTTTATCAATCAATTTGAAAAACATTATTTTTTGTCTGTTTCGTTATCAAAAATGCCATTTTTTTCATGTTTTCTATATAAAATCCACGGAAGTCATGAAATTTTTTTGTTCTTTGACTTCATGTGTATAACGAAGTAATGATTAGAAGCTTTTTACGAGAGTTCTTATTGGCTCGCTGAAGTTAAGAAATAAAAGACAATGTTAGCTAATATTTGTCATCTAGTCTTAGTATCATCTTCTTTTATATTGACATCAGTTCGTGTCAACATATACATATTGATTTGAGAACGGATCACTAGTCTAAATGTATTAATAATTGTTGATGTAGTTCGATTGCTCTAATTTATTTTCTATTATCTTTGACATAATATTCCTGCCTAAATGAATCTGTAATTTTAATTTTTAATATTTCAATTAAGAAAAAAATAGTTCATTTTTCTTTTCCGGATAAGTCTACTTCGCTTATTCATTATGATTTCGATTTATTGATGAATTTATTAATTACATTTGACATATAAATCATTCAACAAAACGGAAGTTTCATGCAATGTATTTATCATTGAAACTAGGAATGCACTTTCAAATATCACTAGTAAGGTTGGTAAAGCCAATGAGTACATTAGAAAACCGTATTGATGAGCGTTTCTTTTCTCATTATTGAAATGCCTTTGTGTCAAGACCAGCGAGCATTTTTTCAATACACCTGTTATTCCTGTGCGCTCTTCATGGGCCCATTGCCTTCGTTGTTAGCGTCATCGTGACATTTCTAGTTAACGCATACATGTTCGTTGATATCTAAATTCAATAAATTATAAGTCTATGATATCTTATTAAGCCAATTTTTCTTTTTTCAAAAACAAAGGAAACATGATACACTTTCGTTTAATAAAAACATTAACTCTAGTTGAGTCCATATTGAAACTGACTTATCTATCCCATGAGTTGTTCATCAAAGCTCCTTGAAATTTTAAATAACTAGGTGTTGATAGGTTAGTTGTCTTATCAAATATATCTAGTTAGATCTGATCCTTTTTCTCGCGTTTATAGGTTTTTATGACTTTGAACCGAAAGTAAAAATGTCTATTAGTTCATGCCTCACATTTCATGTTTTACCCACATTAAAAATAGACAGAAATTATGTCTATCTATGAAACTTTAATCTCGATGATAGTCTCACACAAGTCATAAATCATCTGAGTCCTAAGAATCTTGAAAATATGATACATGATTTAGAAATGGATGTATTCCGTTTATTATTTGTGTTGCATTGACTTCTGTCACCTCATGAGAATTAACAAATGGTTGACATTTGTTAACCCTTTACCTCCCATAGCGATTCTAGAAGAGCCACTGATAAAATAACTTTATAAATAGAGTATTAGTCTGTTGAATATGCCAATGGTGTGGCCTAATCCACCGAATGTCCTGTTCCTGCAGTAGGGCGGTTTGATTGATGTAAAAATCATGTGGTGGAAAATGGGAATTGAACGGCATCATAAGACTTAATTTTTTTTCTTTGACCACATTATTGACTGGATAGAAGCAGCATCTATCTCGTACTATTGAAGTGATAGGAAATACGCAACGAGTGAACCGATAAAAATTAACATCAAAGAATACATGCTTTTTTTACACCTATTGTCAAATTTAAGCCTATTTTACTCTTAGCCATTTTGTAACGTCTGAAAGAATTGAATTCATCATAAATACTATTTCGACTTCTCATGAGTTGAGGTCTATAACGCATATATTAACTTTGTTCTTGATTACCTTCCATTTGTCTAACAGTGACTACATGGTCAATTGTGTTCCTTAGTATGTATAATTGGTGGAGTTATCATGAAGCTTTCGAAACACATCTAATTCAGCAGTGGACTTCTTCATCGACTAATATCACACAGAAATTCCAAAAGACTTCTATCGACTGCAAGTAGGGGACATTTTGTTTAAAAAATTTCGGATTTTTGTATTTTTTTCAAAATTATCGATTTTGTAAGTCATATATCTCGAAGGCAGAGCAATGAAACAAAATAGTTTTTTTACTAATCGATAGCTTGTGAAGTTCCCTACAAATAATGTCTTGGGAGTTTTTCAGCCTCATGCTTCCTTTATCATCTGTGATCGTGTCTACAAATGGGACATATATGACCCATTAGGGGGTAAAGGGTTAAGAAGAATTCGCGAAAAAAATATGAAAATTATGAAGTCTTCTAACAAAAATTGTATTTTGGTTTTAAAGAATTAGTTGAAAACAGACCTCAAAATTTAAGAGATTGCACATGTCGGAAACTAAATGAATAATTGGTAGTTCACATCTTATGTCTCTGAAGTATTGTATTGATAAGCATTTACAACAAATGTAAATCTATTGATTAATAGGATATCGATCTTATTTGTACTAGTTGAAGCCTGTACCGATCGCTTCTGTACCGCTAATCTATCGATTAGCTTAAAAAAATCAAT